ATAATACAATATGCTACTAAGACTATTCGCCTATAGAATCTTAGTAAGACCTTGTAATAATAACATCGTCTGCCAATAAAAGCACTGTCAGCCTTTGTAAAATATATGTAAGTGAAAATATAATGTAACTGTCAACATGTGTAAATGAAATATTTTGTCAAGAATTCATTTACTGTTATACACAATAAAAGTCACAGTTTTATGGGTAGAAGAATAGCATAAAAATGTATTTAATCCATAAAGCCAAACTAGTGAAACAGCAAGATTGTATGTCAAATTATTGCAGAATATTTAGAGATGTTATCACGAAAAACCCGTCCTTTTAAAAAATACATACAATAATCTTACATGTAATTAAATATAGACGTTGATGATCTGTTGATGTAATATTGATCTACATCACCCTCTGATGGTTCGCTTATCATTCCAATGCTCCCTCTGTTGCCACTTCGTGGGTTAGCAATCGGTTCTCTGTTGAATAATACTTGAACTGTGATATCAACTGATATTTCCAAGCAACGCGCTCTCTGGCAGCAGACAAGTTCCGTCGTCAAGTGTCATGGCGGTCTGGCATCGCGTCCTCTGGTTCCACTTCGTGGAACTATGATGTCTTCGTCTCCAGTGCCACTTCATAGACGTCTCCTCCCCTATCGCCTGAAGCAACCAATCAGTGAGTGTGTCTGGACAATCCTTTTAACTACTCATATCTTGTTCAATCGACATGTTTTGGTGAGAGCAAGTTCTCCCTATCTACAAGATTCGACTGAGAAACATTTTTAAAAACTCAAGAATTTATACATACAGTTTGTAATAACGTTTCATTTCCAAACTCATGATTTTTTACATACAGCTTCTAATAACACGCATACCACCAGTATCAATAATGGTAATACAGTAGATTATTGTTACAAGATCATATTATACAAATTATCTGGACCTGAATATTTGTCTAATTTCTAGTTTTTTAATAATATTAATGTATTTTTTAAAGTTGATGTTAACTGGATATTCAAACAATTGTGGTACTGTAGTAAGAGTGTTACTAACACAAGCAAAAAAGCATGGTAATGGATGGAATTTTCAAAATTTTAATAGTCAAGAACTCGATAAGATTAATTTAAATACAAGTAGAAATAAAGTAAAGATAAAAAAGACCTGATTCATTTCCGTTTCTTCCTAATAACAATCAACACAAAATGATCGTTATTAAGACCCTCATCCCAGGCACGTTTTCTAACTTAGTGACTTTCAGTTGCTTGAGCTGTTTTTATTTCGTTATTTTGATATTCTTGATAGATGCTCTTATTCTAACAAGTTACTAATGTGTAGTTAGAGTCCCAGTTTTGATATCATAAGTAAGTAATCTTAACCTGAAATGTTGTATTCTAATTGTTTTGTGTGGTTTGTTTAAAATGAGCTTGTTTGGTTAATAGTAAACTGGAATATAAAACGAATGGGCTTTTAATATCAACAAACGCCACAAAAAAGAAGATTATTGTTGATACTGAATATTGGAAGGGACCCTATTGAAGTACAATATTTTGAACTTTATTTTAAACTTTCAAAACTTTTTTCCTTAAAATGATTACAGATTTTCTTTAAACATCACAAACTAGTAATGTATATTTTCTCTAATCTCTTTAAACATCACAAACTAGTAATGTATATTTTCTCTGATCACACAATTCCTATTAGTAGCATATCTGAGTTACCCAGGGGTGGATTTAGTATTTTGAAGAAAAAAGGGGGGTCTAAATGGTTAGATGTCGGAGAGTTTGATAAGAGGTTGCCCCTCTATCTCTGAGAAGCTAGAGAGTTTTGGAAATTTGAAATCTTTTGAATCCAATTCCTGGCTCATTCTTACTGATTAATCTCATTAGCAAGCTATCAATAAGAAGTTAGAGTAACTTACACTTTCTGCTACCACTGAAAACATCTTTTCCTTCAGGTGCGAAGCTGACTGTTAGAATCATTCAAGATCTCGAAGCGACCCCCAGAATCAAGTTGTTCACTGATGGGCTAGAGAGGGGTGAAATGTTTGAAAAGGGTTCCTTCAAAGATCTGTGATGGGTTTTAAAACGATCATAATATTTTGGAAGAAAATATCCTTTACGGCTGTCTTCCACATTTGACACATTACAGATGGTCCAGACCCCCTTACCATACAGTAATACGAGTATAACTGAGCCTAGAAAATAATTAAATACAATATTTCTGCCACTTGCACGCCCCCCCCCAGTCGCTCAGCGGTAAGACTGAAGGCTTATAACTCTAAAGACCGGACTTCGATACCCGTGATATGTACAGCACAGATAGACCATTCTATAGCTTTGCGTTTAACAAGAAACAAACAAACAAAATCATTTGCATCTCTGTTTTCTCTTTATTTCCTCGAAAGGGGGCCGGAGACCGTCTGGAGGGGTCACTTTTTTAAAACCACTCGCACCACTGTATAGTAGTGCGTTGTCTTTCTGTCAGTCAGTAGGCAAACAAATTTCGTCACAAAAGGGATGGTTAACGTTGCAATTTTGACTGTCGAGACGTCACTATAACGTGCGCATGCCATGAATCACGAGAAGAATTGTGCACTTTGTAGACATAGAACACAGTATGAGATATGAATTTCAAAAGCAAAAAATAAAAATATTTGTTACTCTTAATTTTGGTTTTATTTACTCTTGAAAAAATACTTTCGGGGACTCTGCGGAAGTACATCTAGTTTCTATTTAATATTTTACTCTTTTCTTCGATTTTGTTTTTTGCATTGAAAAAAAAAAAATGGGCGGCAGACCCTCCGGTACCAGACGATGTAATGTGTGTGACGTCCATGGAAGTTAAAGATATTAGCAACTTTCCAGCGTAGAACCTAACAGGCCAAGTAAGTACATGTGATATGTATTAAATGTAGAAGTAACTTGGAAGAAAATCTTGATTTTTTTTTCAATATCTTTTCCCACTTTTCTTGGGGACTAGCATAGCCAGGTGATTAGAACGCTCGACTCGCAATCTGAGGGTCGCGAGTTCGAATCCCCGTCACAACAAACATGCTCGCCCTTTCAGCCGTGGGGACGTTATTATGTGACGGGCAATCCCACTATTCGTTGGTAAAAGAGTAGCCCAAGAGTTGGCGGTGGGTGGTGATGACTAACTGCCTTCCCTCTAGTCTTACACTGCTAAATTAGGGACGGCTGGCGCAGATAGCCCTAGTGTAGCTTTGCGCGAAATTCATAACAAACAAACAACTTTTCGAATCGCTTTAATATCCGAAATTAAAAACAAACCTTATTTCCCTTGTATTGAACAATTACTTTACACACAAACTGAAGCCATCTTACTGAAACAGTATCATAATAAACACAAATATTTACTTTTAAGGTAAGTTTTCTCACACATCATTACCCTTAGTATTTTAGTTGTAAGTTTTAGACATAAGACTTTACCTTATTTAAAACATCCAATTATAACCGGTGTTGATTTATAGTTGTTTAAAATACGCTAAATCATTTTTATTGTTAAAATGATTAAGTAAACTTCGTACAGTTTCGTACAATCATTAAAAACGTTACTAAATAAATGTAAATGGATCACCTTCTTGATGGAATTAATGTAACTAGCTGGTTACCGGCTTTAATAGTTGATATCACGTTTATCAGTACGTGCGGAAACCCCTCCACTGTGTATATCACCAAACTGTGTGAGTTTGTTTGATTTAAATTTCGCGCAAAGCTACACGAGGGCTATCTGTGCTAGCCGTCCCTAATTTACCAGTGAAAGACTAGAGGGAAGGCAACTAGTCATCACCATCCACCGCCAACTCTTGGGCTACTTTTTTTTAACCAACAAATAGTGGAATTGACCGTCACTGTATAAACGCCCTCGCGGCTGAAAGGGCGAGCATGTTTGGTGGACGGGAATTCGAACCCACAACCCTCAGATTGCGAGTCAAGTGCCCTAACCAACTGGTTAGGCCGGGCCTAATCTATCTGTGCTGTGCCCACCACAAGTATCGAAACATGTTTTTCTGCGTTACAAGCCTACAGACTTACCGCTGAGCCACTGCGGACGAAAATATCAAGATCATGAAGGTAAACAATTTATAGGTCATTTGATACTTAATGATAACACGTGAACCGAGCAAAATGTCGGTTTTTTTTGGATGGTGTTAACCTCTTATATATATATATATGTGTGTAAGCCGTATAACGTTGATATATATCTGAAATATTTATAAATCTCTCCATCTATACAAAAGTTACTGTGTCGTAAATGCATATTTACAATGTCCTGACATATTCTGAGAGCGTAGACATTATTTCAATTAATATTATTGGCGTTGGGTCTCATGAAGCTACGCCATTTAGCTAGCCCTTGCTTATAACAAATATAAACTGATAATATAGTGTTACGTCTCTGGTCGTTTGTTAATTTCCCGTAAAAATTCCTTCCGAAAAAACTTCAGCGATACAAGTCCTTTCTTAAATAAAACTAGTTTATTATTTCTCAATAGAACTTTGCAATACACTTAATTTCCACAGTCATTTTAACTTCAACACACGCTAGAATTCACAACGATTCACGCACTTAACTTACGGCTTGACTCGATTATCTGTCTCTAAATCTCTCTGTCTGCAATTATTCTCTCTCGTCACTTCTTGCCGGTCATATATATATATACAAAATAGAGCCTTCACGAACGTTCTAGATACTCATTACGTGTTACCAGCGTCACGTGAATTCCGATGTCGTAACAATAATTTAAACCTTTTTTTTTTTGTCATCAAACAGGCTATGTTTTAAGCCTAAAAATATAACGTGTTTCATACTCAGTTGTATATGTAATGTTTTTTATAATCTTTATTTTTAATTACTTTATTTTTGTACATAAATTAACTTTACTAACACTGATAATAACAATAATTGTACTTATAATTGAAATTATTTTCTGTCAATAAGACGGAAAGAAACCCAACATTTTTTAAATTTATGTTTTTTGCGTTTAGGTTTTCTCAGATTGGAAGTATAAAATGCAAGGTAATCCTGCCTTACGTTGAAATGTAGTCTGGATGTAACGAACAAAGATCAGTTTAATTCAAGACAATTTGTGTTGATCTATCGTGTGATGCGTGACTTGTTGTGTGGAGAAATGCACGTGACTGTGAAAGAGACAGCGAGCTCAGCGCGTGTACACCTTCGTATGATGTTCTGCGCAGCCGTCAACTTGCAAACAATTCGTGATCAGTGTTGGGCTATATGGTTGAGTAAAGAAAGCAGAAAAATTCGCTAACTTGTATTCAACGAGTAATCGCTCGAAGTGACTCGTTATTTCAAAATATTACCTTCAACAATGGAAGAGGAACTTAGGTGTCCGCTTTGTAAGCATTTATTTCGTAATCCAGTTTTGTTACCATGTTATCATTCTGTTTGCCTGAATTGTGCTATTCGTTCACAAAAACCAGCACAACAAACTCAACCGCAACCAGAGGGATCTTTGAATAATTTGAATGAAATAACTGCAGATTATTCAGATGTTGATAAACTTAGTTTGGTAAGTGAAACAGATAGTGGGGTGGTTTGCAACAGTCGGCCCAATAGCTATGTAGGTACTCCAAATATTCAGGGTATTTTGTTCCCGCCTTTACATAGCAGTGCGTTGTCTCTGAACTGTCCAGTATGTCAGAAAGTTGTTTACTTTGATGAAAATGGAGCCAATAATTTGCAAAAAAATCGAACTGTTCAAAATCTTGTCGATAAATACGTAGAAGCTAAACATTTACCTGTTTTCTGTCAACTGTGTGAAGGTGACCCTAAAATAGCCGCAGTTATGTGTGAACAATGCGAAGTGTTCTATTGTGAATCCTGTCGGGACAACTGTCACCCGGACAGGGGCCCGCTGGTGAAACACTCTTTAGTTAACCCTCAGCAAGGAAAAGCTAATTTGAGAGCAAGAATCAAAGAAAGGAAGCCAAATTGCGTAGAACATACTGAAGAAACTTTAAGCATGTACTGCATGATATGTAAAGTCCCAGTTTGTGTTCTGTGTTTACAAGAAGGTAACCACACTAACCACGACGTACAAGCTTTGGGAGCGATGTGTAAGGCACAAAAGGTAGGCCTATTTTTATAAATTATAGATGGTAGGTGAAAAGGAAAGATTATGTTAACACATATTTTAAAAAAGTAAAAGAGAAACTAACATCGCTATATTGTGCAACTCTGTTGTTAGGTAAGTTAATGTACGAATAATACTGTTTAAATGTTCTCTCTTCATGTTGAAATGATTAGTATTACGGACAGTTACTTGGAGGCCCTCAGAACCGAACTTCATTACAAGTCAAATACAATTCATTAATATTTATTAGCTACAGTTTAGGCAATACACAAACAGAAGCGATGGGTAAATAATATAAAAATACTAATGGTCATATATTTAAACGATATAAAGTAATGGCAACGAATTTTTTGGTTAAATGGCCGAGCCCATATTTATGAAACTTGAAAGAACAAGTTAAGAACATGAAAAATTACTAACAACTAAAATCACTGTTGTCATAGTGACATAGTTGAAACAATTTTTAATAAGATATTCAGTTTTTGATTAATTTAAAAAAATTATTTAGTCTGATCCGGTCCTTATTACAGAAAGAGGTTGCTTGGGCGAAAATCTGCCTCCCAAGTGCTTTAGTTAACGTATCGCTCGTCTACTCCAGTTCACTTAGGTTTGAATTGTAATAACTTGGTTTAGTAAAATACAATAGTACTATTTCAAAGGCGGTACAGGGGTCCCAAGAGGGCAGTACTCCCCCTTGTTCCAAACACAAAGAAAATAAGGCTTTGTTATTCAATGTTTGAAACTGTAAAATAAGCAATAATTATTCTATGCAATCAGTGAAAATTGGAAAATAACCGTTATTATTATTACTATTAAACAATAATGATATATTAATTCTATCAATTAACATTTATTGAGGAATTAAATATATAATTACAACTAGATCTCATATTCTGGTCCATGTGTTACCAAAATTGGGTTTTAGTTCAATTCATCTTGTATATATGGATCACCACTACAAATGGTAGACTTTAGACTTTGTTTTGTTATTGTAAGCAGTGTGGTCTAACTTCTGCCCCTTTCCCGATGAGTGAGGTTTTGTTAAAAGTTTTAAGTTCAATGGCATAAAAACGTCTTAGGAACATTACATACAATTTCAAAATTTCAGTGATTTTTACGAGGAATTTGAGAAAACGATGTGTAGCCTAGCGTGATTTTTTTTGTCACAAATATTGGGCCAGTGCCTTTATTTAGCCTGGAAAATAAAATTCAGGACAACTTGACACCGGACATTTAGACATCGCTCGTTTATTATAGAATAAAACAATAATTACAACAGATAAATTCCATGTATACGTATAAGCATATAAGACCTGTATATATGTAGGCCTAATACAATACCAGTTTAATTTACCTCATTATATGATAGTGTTGCGTCATCGAGG